AAATACACTTCACCAAAGAAAACATTCAAAAGTCCTACGACACATAAAGTGAACACAGGAAGAAATGCTTAAGATCATTACCTATTAGAGAGATAGATGCAAATAAAAACCTCAGAGACATATCTACTGACTCCAGAAACAGCAAAGTTCAATAAGACAGTAAGTAAGCAACAAATTTTGGTGCAATTGTGGGAGTTTATAACTCTCATACAATGCTGGTGGGAATGTAAAATGGTGCTGTCATTATGGAAAGCTGCTGGATGGTTCTTTAGAAAACTAGAAACAGAAACATCATACAATCCAGCAATCCAGGTATGTATCCTACAGAAATGAAACAGGGACATGAACTGCTATATGCACCTTATATTTACTGCAGCATTCTTTTTAACACAGCAAAAAGAAAATAAATAAACTAAGTGTCCATCAATGAACAGATGATAAAGAAACAATGGTACATTCACATAATGGAGTGTTCTAAAACACTAAGAAAAGTTATACAACGCTGAAGGTGCAGCCCTATGCCAAAAACTTTGAAAGATCACCTGGCTAATTGCCTGGAAGAGATCAATATTTGTTTCCATTCCTGAAAAAAAGTGATCCAAAAGAATGTGGAAATTCTTGAACAAATCACTAGTATCACATGCAAGCAAAATATTGCTGAAGACTATTTAAAAATGCCTGGGACAGTACATTGATAGGGAACTCCTGGAAACTGAAGCCAGATTCAGAAGAGGATGTGGTATGAGGGGTATCATTGCTGACGTCAGATGGGTATTATTAGAATACCAGAAAGATGTTTGTGTTTTATTGACCATGCAAAAGTATTTGATTATGCAGATCATCACAAATGCTGGATAACATTGAGAAGAATGAGAATCCAAGAACACTTAATTGTGCTCATGTGAAACTTATACCTAGACCACTGGATTAGGAAAGTCTGCTGTCAGGGACCTCTCCAGAGTGCTGAAGTGCGAAGATGTCAGTCTAAAGACTAAGGTGTGCCTGATCCAGGCTATGGTCTTTGCTATTTCTTGTTATGCATCAGAGAGCTGGACAATGATTAAGGATAACAGAGGAAGTGATGTCTTTGAGTTGTGGTGTTAGAGAAGTGTACTAATATACCATGGACTGTCAAAAGAACAAACAGGTCTGTTTTGGAGAGGGTGAAACCAACTTGCTCTCTGGAGAAAAGGATTTTGAAGCTCCAACTCACATACTTTGGGCGTGCTGTTAGAAGGGGCTATTCCTTGGAGAGGGACATCATGCTTGGAAGGGTGGACGAACAGTAGAGGAGAGGAAGACCCTAGATAAGATGGAGTGACTGGGGTCATAGGGGCAGGTATGTTGTAGACAGTCAGATTGGCTCAGGACAGGGCAGAATTCAGAGCTATTGTACATAGGGTCACTATGAGTCGCAGGCGACTCAAGGGAACATTAACAAAAACATGCCATGTATAACAAAACGAGACATTGCCCAATCCCATGTCGTTATAATCACTGCTGTGATTTGGAGCCACAATGGTAGCCACTGTTTGGTACCAGTCTGTCATTGAGGGTCTTCCTCTTTTTCACTGACCCTTTACTTCTACCATGTTATCTTTTAAAATTTTTTTATTTTATTATTTTTTGTGCATGTACCTCAAATCAGATCTGACTGGTACAGGAGGAGATTGACGCTCCTCCTCCAGCACAGCATCTGGTGGATTTGAATCACGCACCTCTGGTATTGCAATGCAGCTTCTTGCCACTAGGTGTGTTATCTTTCTTATGGGCTGGGTCCCTCGTGATAACATGACCGAAATATGTGTGATGAAGTCTCACATCATAGCTTCTTAAGAGTATTTGATGTACTTTTTTTTTTTGAGTGAAGGTTTACAAATTATACTGGTTTTTCATACAATCATTCACGTTTTGTTTTAGAACATTATTGCCACTGATTAATGAATTATGTCTAATCAACTTTTTTGTAAATTGACTTTCCCTTCATCCTAATTATCTACTTATTTTTACGCTCCTCTACTTCCTTTACTATCCTTATTACCCCTCTAAGATTGATTCTGTGTACAAACCTTTCCTTGGCTTTTTATAAACGTGGTTTTATACCCTAAGTGTCTTTTTGTGACCAGCTTGAGTCATTCAGCATAATTTGTTCTAGATTTACCCCGATTGTGCAGTATTTCATGAATGTATCATTTTTTAGTGATGCATAATACTCTTTTGTATGGATGTAGCTTCTTTAGCCATTCCACTGTTGACTGCTACTTGGGTTCTTTCTTCCTCTTTGCTTTGTAAAATAATGCTGCGAAACACATGGGTGTATGTTGGTTTGTGCCACTACTCTTCTTTGTGATCTAGACCTAGTAGTGGGATTGCTAGGGAGCTCTTTCCGCTGCCAACGCACAGGTTGTTGTTGTTGTTATGTGCCGTCGAGTTGTTTGCGACTCATAGCGACCCTATGTACAACAGCCCTAAACCCCGCTCTATCCTGTGCCAATCTCATTGCCTCTGACACACCCATCCCGATTACCCCAGTCACTGACTCAATCCACCTCATAGAGGGTCTTCGCCTCCTGCGCTGTCCCTCCACTCTGCCCAGCATGATGTCCCTCTCCAAAGACCTGTCTCTCCTTACAACATGTCCAAATTATGTCAGGCGAAGCCCCAGAATCCTTGCCTCCAAGGAGCAGCCTGGTTTAACCCTCCCTAGGATGAATCTATTTGTTTTCTTGGCAGTCCATGGTACATTCAGTACTCTTCTCCAGCACCACAGCTCAAAGGCGTCAATTCTCCTTCTATCCTCCCTAGTCATTGTCCAACTCTCTGATGCATAACAAGTGATTGCAAAAACCATGGCCTGTATCAGGTGCACCTTAGTCTCCAGAAAGACACTGTTGCTCTTGAGTACATTAGAGAGGTCCCTAACCACAGACTTTCCCATCACAAGATGTTTTTTGATTTCCTCGCTACTGGTGCCAAGAGTGTTGACCGTGGAGCCGAGCAAACTGAAGCTGTGAACAATCTCAAACTCTTCACCATCCATCCTGATGCTACAGATTGGTCCAGTGGTGAGAATTTTTGTCTTCTTGACATTGAGCCTCAGTCCATATTGAAGGCTGCAGTCCTTGACCCTCTGCAGTAAGTGCATGAGGTCCTCCTCAGTTTCAGCGAGCAGGGTTGTGTCATCTGCATAACGCAGATTGCTGACAGATCGTCCACCAATCCTAACGCCACGCTTCTCCTCATAGATCCCAGCCTCTCAGATAATCTGCTCTGCATATAGGTTGAAAAGGTATGGGATTTATCTTTCACTACTCCACAGATTGCTGTCTGTCAGATACTCCTCTAAATCTAAACACTCAGATTAAGACAGACTAGGAAGAAGGATTGGCCATCCACTTCTGAAATGGCAGGCCTCTGAAAACCCTATGTACCACGGAAGAGGAAGAAAAGACCAAAATGGATGTCAGAAGAAACTCTGAAGATTGCACTGGAACGTAGAGAAGCCAAGGCACAAGGAAGAATCCAAGACACTATAGAGCTGAACAGAAGATTCCAAAAGGCAGCACGGAATGACAAAGCAAAATACTACAATGAAATGTTCGAGGAGCTAGAGTTGGAAAATCAAAAGGGCTGAACTCGTTCAGCATTTCTTAAGCTCAAGGAACTGAAGAACAAATTCAACGCACAGGTATGCAGCTTAAATTCACCAGCTGCTTCATGGAGAAAGAAAACTCCCTAGCCTCTGAAAACCTGCTGGAAGGTCAGCTACGGGGTGGTTGAGACTCCATGTTACAGAACAAACGACAGTGAGACTGCTGGATCAAATGTATTTCTATTCCTAACTTTCTTAGGAAGTTCCTGGTTATACTTCTTACAAGGCAGATGTGTTCTTTGGCAGTCCATAGCATATTCAATATTCTTTATAAACACCACAGTTCAAAAGCAGCTGTTCTTCAGTCTTATTAACTGTCCAACTTTCACATGCATTTGAAGCAACTGGAAATAGTCTGATTTGAGTCAGGAGCACCATGCCCCTCAGAGTGACATCTTTGCTCTTTACTCTTTAAAGAAGTCCTTTGCAGGGCTCTTTCATCATCATCATCATCATCATCAAAACAAAACTCTATTGCCAAAAAAAAAAAAAAATTTAAAAAAATTAACCGAGGGATTTTGATTCACAGCAATGCCATAGAACAAAGCGGAACTGCTTCCAGACAGATGCTTTCTCCTTAGTGAGCAACTGGTGGGTTCCAGCTGCCACCTATTGGTTGGCAGCCCAGCTTGCTTAACTGTTGCGCCTTATTTTTTGTTGGTATGTACCACTGAGTCATAACCAAGCCATAGCTTACCCTCTAAATGGGTTTTCAGAGGCAGGAAATCACAAGGGAGGAGACTGCCCATCCTTCTCTCGCGGGGCGGCGGGTGGATTAGAATCATCTGCCTTGGGGTTGGTAGCGCAACTACTTACCCCGAAGCCACCAGAGCGCCAATAAAGATCAAAACCATACAATAGTGGAGTCAATTTCGAATCATATCGACAAAATAGAAAGTGTCCAAAGCATTTTTAAAGCTGTTAATCTTTATGGAAGTAGACTGTTTTCAGGGAAGCGGATGGCGGATCCAAACCCCGACCTTTTGATTAGCAGCTTAAACTCACAACATAAGCAAAGAGGGAGGAAGTAACATGACTCTCAATGTACACAGTGGAAGAGCGGGAAGCCGAATTGGGTTATCAGTCTTTTTTCTGGGTCCGAGACGCAACTACCCTCATTGCACCCTTGGGTTCTACGTCGTCAGCAGGAGCCGAATGCGCACAGCCTCAGAATGCGCATGCGCGGGGTGTGACCTGCGCAGGCGCAGGCCGCCAGGCGACGTGGCTGGGCCGAAGCCCGGAAGTTGCCGATTGGATCTGCTGCTGTCGCTGCAGGACCGCTGCTTGCAGGATCGCTGCTTCCAGTCCCGCAGGCGAGCCCTGGGTTGCTACCCCGGCCGGCTCCATCATGCTGAAGAAATTCGACAAGAAGGACGAGGAGTCCGGTAAGGGGCTCTGGCCGGGTAGCAGGTCTGGACCTGGGGAGATCAGACAGAGGGCAAGCTCTCAGGTCCTTTCCCTGACCCGGAGGCTGAGGCCCAGGGAGGGTTAATGACGTGTCCAGAGGTCCACAGCTGGTCATCAGCAGGTCTCGGAAAACCCGAGCATCCTCCAGGGTCTTCGATTCTTTACGCTCATGCTGTGACCTTGAGGGGGTCACTTTCTTCTTGGGCCTCTGTTTCCCCATCTTTCAGTAGGTTGACTGGGCCGGATGCTTCCGTTTGACTGTCTTCCCGACCGGGTCGCCTTGGCCAGGCAGTGTTGGTGCCGACCAAACTAGAGTGTGATATGTGAAGCCACTGTCGATTATTTTTTTTAATAACAAAATGAGACACTGCCCGATGTTACTCCATCCATACAATCACTGCTGTGATTGCAACCCCAAAGGTAGTAACTGTGAGATAGTCACCTAGGTTATTGAGAGTCTTCCTCTTTTTCACGCTTAATAAGCCTGATGATACTTTTCTTGGCTGAGAAATCCTGACTCTTCATTCTGCAGACTTTTATTGAGCACTTTCTCTGTGCCAGGAGCTGTACTGATGCAGCAGTAGAGGATGTTATAATTGAATGAACACAGTGGCCACTGGCATGATGGAGGACACAGATCAACCAGAAAATTACAGATGTGACTTTTTTAAGGAAAAAACCACCAAACCTACCTAGTTATGTTGAGACTGTGGTTCCTGGCCATAGTAGGGACTCAAGTCAAGTTAAGAGATGTATGAATGAATGGAAGACGTACTGCCAAGAGAGACAAAAGGAAGGCTTTACCCAGGCAGCTGGGTAACTAAATATTTGGCCTAGTAGAGGAGTCAGTTCTACAGGAAGACTGCAGAGCTTTGATTGTCATTCCAGATGAGTTTGAACATTATTATTTTGTCAATAGAGACTCCTTCTCCTTCTGTCTGATAACCAAACCACTGCCTTGGAGTGAATTCCAAGTCTTGGAAGCCCCCTATCAGATTTTCAGGAGCAGATTGTCTCCTGTTTCTGCTAAGGAGTGGTGGGTGGGTTGGAACCGCAGACCTTTTAGATAGCATTCCAGTATATAAAGGACTGGCCTGTACCAGGGCTCCCTGTCTATGTTGAGGTTTGAAATTCAGGGATAGAATGTACTCAGTGGTGTCTGTTTTCCTTATCTGTAGGTGGAGGCTCCAACCCATTCCAACATCTGGAGAAGAGTGCCGTACTCCAGGAGGCAAGTGTCATTTTTTTCCCTGTTTAGTCTTTAGTCTCTAATCATAAATGTTCATGATGGAAATAGCATCATATATTCAGTAATGATTTAGAGACCAATAAGGGGGGAAAAAAGTACCTAAATAGACAAAGAAACTTTTGTTCTGGCACAGATTATGCCTCTGTTTTTTTATTGTTTCTTTCTTCTTCCAGTTAAGAAACATTGCGTAAATATTTACTGATCAGTAGCTCACATCACTAACTTTTCTAATATTAAAAAAAAGTTGTTAATAGATGAGGTTTTTTATTTTATTTATTTTTCATTTCAATGAACATCTACAGAGATTTTGGAATTCCATTCATTCATTGTTGCACCCTTCCCCTCCCCCACCTCAACCCTCCCACCCCTTGCCCCCCGTTAGCTCCTCTCCTTGAAAA